GGTAAATTGCGTCAAACCCCCCTGTATTATACGAAATCTGCGCGTTATCCCCCTGTATTTTAAAAATTGCGTCATACCCCCTTATATTATACTTTTGATTGCGCATTATCCCTTAAACCATCTAACTTGACGGATGTGCATTTCACGCGCGTGTGGTGCGGCTTTTTCTCCACTTTTTCGCCATAAACTCAGGGAAATGACTATTTTGCCCCTTAATACCTGAATTAAATTGAACATCCGTCATTTTTTTTTTCCTCAAATCGCAATCGAAGTAAGGGGATGAGTGTTATGAGGGTTATGGCTGTTGCGAACGAGACCAGGGCCGTTAGAAATTTGAAAATTGTGAGGGCGAGCGTGAGCTGGAAGGAGTGGGGCCCATAGGTCCACCCAGTGAGCAGGTGGGTCGCGCCACAGAGGACGATGAAGGCGATGAACTGAAAAAGAACCCATTTGAAGGGGATGTTCGAGTAGCTCACGAAGTAGAGAAGCTCGATCGGGATTGAGAAATAAGCAACTGCAATGAGAAAGTCACTTATCCTCTGGCACTCCATGATGTTCTCGATGGTCCAAAGCCCGTCCTCATCACAATTGCAACGGAGCCCATTTTCAGCCGCATGTAGTGGAAGAAAGAGGGATATAAACAAGCAACAAGATGCCAACACCTTTAACATTTGCATCAGATGCGTTTGATTTGTTCAATCCATTTTTTTTACCTTATATCGTCTTCTACAAGTACCAAGAAATTAGCTATTGTGATTTTCCTTTATTTGATTCCCTCGAAGTGAAATTAGGGTTTTCGTTTCTCCCTTTTGTCTCTTTTTTTATTGTATTAATTTTTTTTGTTCTTATTTGGGCATTAATTGTTATCATTGTTATTTTTAGCTATGTAATCAGTATCCTACTGAAATTTTTGTAGGATCCATTCATAAGGAGTGCCAAGAAATTGTAATGATGTATTAAAATTTCAGTGTTTGTTTATCAAAAGAGAGAGATTTTTTTAGATTGACTGTAATTGTTTGTTTCTGAGGGCATAACGGGAAGTTAAGCAAAAAATTAACGGGGTTAACACGGAAACGAGGAGGGGGGAGCGTGCGCAATCAAAAGTATAATATAAAGGGGTATGGCGCAATTTTTAAAATACAGGAGGATAACGCGCAGATTTCATATAATACAGGGGGGCTTGGCGCAATTTACCCTAAAAAAATAGGAATATTTGTCAAGAAAAGTATGACGAAACAACCTACCAAATAAGCTGTCTGGTAGAAATTTGTGTGAATCTAATTATCTAAATATGTGGAAGGAAGGGTGGATTTGCACGAATATCACATGCTTGGTAGCCTACCAGTCTACCTTGATATTTCATATTCATGCATGTATTTAATCAATATATAGTGATACTTATATAAGTTTGATGTTAAGATAATAAGTTCTGATGTTCAGATGATGTGATTAATATCTTGGTCCTTTTGATCATAAACAAAAGAGAAATTATTTTTTAACATCTCCGACTCTTCTTTTGTTGTTCGAACATGTAGGCTCAATTGTTATGTGTCTTGAATTGAATATCATCACATATAGCATACATAATCAGTGAAGAAGGTAAATGCCACTTGCAAAATTGAGAATATTGAAAATTCTAGGAGAAGAATGAAAGAGTTGTACATATGTACCAACTGTTGAATCGAATCAAACAGTTATATACTTGAGCATGGCTCCACGAATCTTCTCCATATATTCTGCCGCCTGCGTCTGCATAAAAAAAGTCGAGCTCAAACATGTTCCAAAATCTACCAAAAATAAATGTCATATCCACAGACTTTTTAACTCGACCAAACAAACTTTTCGAAGTGAAGGAAAGGTTACATTGACCTGTGAACATTAGATGACAACATAATGAATAGTTCCAAAGAGAATCCTTTCCTCTTTTTATGTGTTAAAAGAATTTCTTAAGGTTACTTATGTACTGGGGGTTGACGCCATAGATTCTCATACAACTCCAGCGAAATAAGCTTCTTATATTAAATTGGATAATTTGAAATCACCATAGACCTGAATTCCCCCATGTCATTTTTTTTTTTCAAGGAAAAAGAAAAGAACAAAAGAAAACCTTAGTAAGATAAGACTCTCGAGTTATATTTTCAACAATATACTAAGCTCCAAGGCATGAGGAACCTTATCAAAATTCTCCCGATAAAAATCTAACTCGAGTCATCACTTAGTTTTTGGAACTCTTGAGTTGATTGATTAGTAATTCATCATTCGTATGTGAAAGATGGAATTTCAGTTTATGACTCATCTCACCTGGTTTCCCAGATACGCATTTGCAATATTTTCATCAAGAAGAGCCAACAACGATCTATTCAGCTCATTCTGCTCAACCATGTCTAACAGCTGCATTGTATACAAAGAATCCACCAGTAACCAAAAGGCTTAAAGAAGATAGCACAATAATATAGATTATAGTAATATTAGTAAATATTGAAGTAGCATACAGTTGCCTTGACGTCATCTGATGTTAAAAGCTTCATCAAGCTTTTCCTTGCTGTTACGAGATCGGATTGCATCTTATCATATGCTTCTGCAAGAGAACATAAAGTAGAAGGTTGGTCAAATAGTCAAACACTACTTTTGCATAATTATTCGCTATATACACCGACCTATCCCTTCCTGCAGGGCTTTTTCCAGAGTTTCCAGCTCGACTACTCTGTCTTCCATATCCTATAGAAAACAATCATTTTCACATGCTTTTAGTGATATGTGCTTGTTCATCAGATAGGAAAACACATTTCGAGAATGCAATGACGAACCTGGGTCTTGGACACAGCAAACCTTAGTTTTCCTAGCTCAATTTTCAGATGAGAGAAAAAACCCTCATTCAATCTGCATCGGGATACCATGAGTTCTCTCTTTTGAAAAAAAAAAAAAAAAAATCGCGAAATATGATATTGATCATTAACTGATTGTAACAGTATGACAGCTATTGTAATATGCAAGGCTGCTATTAACAGCTAGAGTAGTTTAAGTTCCTCTAAATAAAGTGTTGCAGTGATGAGCATTTTAGGTGTCCCTTATCATGTGATCTATTAGGTAACACATCAATTCTGCATAAGAGGTTTGTACAAGTTATTTTGGAATGACTTTGCTGTTTGATAGGCAGTTTTATAATTAGCCAGGAAATGTTACAGTCATTTAAGGCAATGTCCTAAATAACAAAACCATTTCACTCGATTATCAACATTTTATTATAACCACAACCCTTTTAACAAGCACATTGTTTTATTTCACACCCATCCTGCCCACGGAATTACCCTTGGCACACTCACAACACGTAGAAGATTTCAGAAAAAAATATATGCTGCAATTAAGAAAGAACATGCGAAGGAAATGTTACACAAACATATCACTATAGTTAGCAATCAAGCTAACAAATTGATAAGCAGCAATAATTTCTGAAAGGAAATGAAGCATAGCCCAGAACAAGAAACTAAAGTCTGTTGGAGCATTCAACATGACCTTTGGAAAGTTCCAAATTAAGGTTTGAGTGTAATTGAAAATTATCCTCTTAAAAATAGCCAGACCCGCAGAACCTCAAAAAATGAAGTACAAATAGCACTGGGATAACAGAGTTACAATATTAGACTGAACATTTGCTATTTCAGTTTCAATTTATAATGTCTATCTCATACAAAATACATGGCTGATCTTTATATTTTTTGGACGGGACAGCCTAAAAGGACTAGATATAAAAGAGAAAGATTCGGGAACCATACTGAACAATTTTATCAGCTTGCTGGAACTTTGTTAGTGATAACATACAAGAATCATTTCATTCAGAAGGCTTGAAATACAGTAATTCACTGATCTCGAGTGACTTAGCAGCTTATAACATTCAAGGAAAAGTAAAAAAAAAAAAA